AATAAACTGGCAGTTCAGAGCATGAGCATGTGTGTGTGTGTGTGTGTGTGTGTGTGTGTGTGCGCGATAGGAAACCTTTGAGGTACTGGATGAATAGTTTGTCTTCCTGGAGCCAGTGGTGCAGGATGGGAGGGGAGCAGGAAGTGAGTCACTGGAGGATCGTAGCTCACCAGAAAAAAAAGGTGGCGTGCTGCTGAGGTGCTGATCCAAATCCACGGAGGGCGAGCTGAGAGCCGTGCAGCTTCAATCGCTGGAGGCCTAAAGATAGAAAGGAACAATGTCAGCAACGCTGACGGCATCAGGCCTGCTTGTGATAAATGACGGGATTTAGGATTCTGGGTCCGATTTATCCGGAGATGCAGGATGCAGTGGCGCCACCAAGGGGCGGGAAGGGGGTCCACGTAAACTTGAGTTGGCTTGTTTCCAGGAAATCAATGTACTCCTTTAGTGTTGCCAGATCAGATTGACAGTTCTGACCCTGATCGCAACTTAAAACTAAGTTAACAACGCAGGTCATTACTTCGCCAGAAAGCCGTGTAAAACCGTAAAACAATTACGTATTCTTACAAAGCTACATATCTGCATCAAATAACCGCAAATAAAATGTTGGAGAAATAAGATATCGCAACCCACAAAGAGTGCAGTTAGACATCCAAATACACAAAAACTAATGTCAACATCAATGATGATGACGTCAAGCTAAGTTTCTCCTCCCTTAACCCCAACGACAGTCGAGTACAACTCATGACAATCAAATATTTCTCAAATGAAATGATTGACTAATATGAGTGAGTGGACATGTATCTGTGTTTTCTGACCATAAAATGGCAGCTTGTTTGGTAATATTGATTTCGCAATATTTCCAAAATCCCACCAAATATTGACAACTCAAATTGAACTTGGGACTTGTGGACTTGGGACTTTATTGCACGTTTGTTTGCAATCTATTCAAGCATCACAAACATTTATTCAATCCAAAGCTTCACACACCAAAGCCATGGTGTCATAATCACTCTGCCTGTTTTATATGTATTGTCCACTTGATGGCGCAGTAGAGCAAACAAAGCACCATGAAGCTTCATCTCGCCATCACTGCTAAAAATGTAATCAAAAGTAGCCCAATTGGGCGGAAAGCAGTCCAATGTGGCAACGCTGACTCAGATTAAAGCTGTATATTTGCCATTTTAAGGAAAAGGACATCTAGCCTGTTTGAAGATGAATGAATGGCCTCACACATGTAGGTTAAATACAGATACATAACACATTAAAACAGGATTGTTATGGAACTCGAAATGTTAACTGTACTGGTATAACAGAATAAGTAAAATTGTAAAATAAGAAAACCAAAGTATATCACTATGAAATGCCTTCACTCTCATATTGACGTCGTTTTCGACCGGCCTACATAGAGCAACAGCATAATAGAATTCCTAAAAGTCAGTTGTGGCTTTTGGTTTTGGTCCCGAGATTTTCAGTGAGATGAACATTTCGGGGAGGCCACTGGCAGGACGAGAGAGCAACAACAGAGCGAGGGGAAGATAATTTTAAATAGTCACAGGAGAGAGAGGTCAACTCCGTGACCACGACGTCAACCCGCCTGAATGGTCCCGATTCCCCAGCCCCACCCGTCTTCTCCAAGTAGCTTAAAATAAGCTTTAGTGGTGTTTTCATAAAACACAGGAAAAATGAACACAACACAATCCCATTCAAAGTGGATATTTTAGAGGACAGGGGAACAAACAAACAAAAGTTGTTGTTCTTTTGTCTGCTATGACGACAGACATGGCAGCTTTTACATCTTTAGCAGTCGCTGCTGCAGATCATAAGTTCATAGACACATCAGCATCATCTTCTTAGATCCTGACTGCAAGTAGGGAAACAATGTTTGGTCTCCAGATGGGTTTCTTTCAATTACATTCAAGCAACAATATGGCTTCAGATACATAAAGTTATCAAAATGAATGAACTCAGGAATAAATATAAAAATACAGAGAATAGAGTTTTAACTGGTTGATCATGTATCAACTTTATTTAAATACTTTAACAACCTCACCTACAGTGTACAGTTAGAAAACTCCACTCCTTCAAAGACAGATACTGGTCAAATGTACATAGCAGGAAAACAAAACTAAAAAACAGAAAACAAACAAAGGGAAGATCAAATCAAACAGAACATTCACGCCTGCCATAGCCGACCCTCAGCCCCCTGAAGAGGCTCTTTCATGGCCGGCCAGGAGGCAGCAATTGTGAATCTTTTGTTAGTTTAAATCTTGCAAAACACAAAACTAAAAATTAAAAAAATAAACACGTCTGTCTCCTCTCTTCACACGGTTACGCCTTACGTCCCACTGAGGTGAGCGGCGATCACATATTCCTGTCTTATAAAAGGATTCGGTTCAAAAACTGTCAAGTGAGGGAGTATATTTACCCAAGTATAAAAAAATAAATTAAAATGATCAACATTTATACACAACACGGTCGATCCCCCCCCCCCCGACACCTTCTGGAACTTCTAGAAGCTCCTCGACGGGTTTACAAAGATTTTGAAAAAAGCCCTGGCAATGAAATTAACTGTTTGTGCGAAGGGGTATAAAACTATGTGACGGGGAAAAAACTATTTAAACAATCATCCGAACTTTGGATCCATCCCAATAATGAACATTTCCACCATGAAGTGTGCGATCTTTAGCTGCAAGCCTGAGAGGGAAAACCGTGTTGAATAATCATTTTTTAACACAGGTGGTGCTGAGATCAATGACGTGGTTCTCTTCAGGCATGAGCTCAGACTGACAGCCTGCTAAAGATCAACGCAGGATTCATGCACTAATTGACTTTTAGGTCCAAAGTCTCATTTGTGATTGTCACACTGTTGACAGCCACTCAAGCCAAACGCTTCTGAATTGATGCTGATGAGGCAGCACATTAATCCGAAATCTGCACACCTGTCCTTTAATTCCATTCTCAACTAAACGGTTAATAAAAGCAAAGTAACTAAAAGATAAAGGCTAGATGACTAGAGACTTTCTGTAAATGTAAACAATAGATTGAAGCTATGAAATGTCCGTTTCTGCAGAGAACAAACAAAAACCTATTTAATGTAAAAGAATAGGCCAAAATAAAACAAAAAAAATTGCTCGATAAATAAATGAATATGCCATGACATATACCGAAAATAATATTTAAATAAATGTAGGCATTAATTGATCAAATGTGATGTTTTAATTTGATTTTTAATTAATGAATCTTTGTATCAAATTCTCCAATTTATTACCTCCTATTTAAATGTACTATTATCTTTCTATATATTTTGTTAATCTGGCAGGTTCCGTCCTCTATAACGACTAAGCATCATTTAGCAAAAATGGGACGCGGGGAACTTTTCCATCTCTTCTACCTTCATTCATTTACAAACTCAAAAGTTTTAAAGAAAGATAAAAACAAAAAGTTCACGAGAAAGCGACAGGACGGCTGAAAGGGGGAACAATAGTGGCGTAGTGATTAAAGAAGCAGAACCAAGAGTCACTTCCTGTACCAGCAAAGTCACCCGTTTCAGGTAAGAGCTAAATATCTGAAATGAAACAGTATATGAACAGCTGGAGGAGCTACAGACATTAAAAACATGAATACAGACCTCAAGACGACTCAAACCGACGAAGAAGTAAAAAAATAAATACAAAAAAAGCAGAATTTTAAGTTTACGTTTTTGTAGCAAACGTGAGTCACACTGAAAAAAATGTATGGTAATGTTTGACAAAACTTGCTGATCTGCTTCAGTGCCGTTCATTAAATTGCAAAAAACACCACGAAAAAGCAAAATTTTTACGGGAAACAATTAGATCCCATCCCATCATTTCATCAGTTGCCAAGAGCACGTCAACGTTGACCGACGAAAATATAGACAAGCGCTTCGACCAGTTTAAAGGGGAGGAGACAATGTAGGAAGTGAAATGAAGAGGATTAATGAAAATACAATGTGAATCTAAAACATTACGTATAAATGAGTTTTTGCTGCCATCTGAATAACTTTTTTCATTTAAGTGTTGAGAAGAGGAGAATACATTTATTTATACATCGATAATTTTGCTTAAAATAGAGATTTAACTTTAAACCCTTCCCATAACCCAAGAGTCTTTTATAGAATCTGCAACACTGTGCTAAAGTGTGTGTGTGTGGGTATCAGTTTGTTCACAAAAGTATGTCTTCTTAAGCTTCTTACAGTCTTACGGGCAGTTGCCTCAGTGCGCTTTTCCTTCTCCTTTTCCACTGATCTGTTCAGTGTCCGAAAATGTTAAAACAAGACGACGGCCGTCCATCACGGTACGGTACAACAATCAGTGCGGGGAGGGGGGGGGGGGGGGGGGGGGGGGG